AAAACTGGCCGAGGCTGGCTCCCACTTCCCAGATTCAACCCAGGATGGAGGTGGACATAGAGCGTACGCTCGACTCGCTGAGCAGCTGAGCTGAGCACCGGAGCAATGCGTAACGGAAGGGTGTGGAGAGGAGACGTCAGGACAAGGATGCCTGTGCTGAACATGGACATGTTACCTGCGAATGTCACAGAGATTCACAGTGCTACGGAAGTCACTGGATTGGGGTTGGCTAAACACTGAAAGGGATGGAAAGAGAAGGACAGTTAAAAAAAAAAAAAAAAATCTGTCTGCGACTGTAAAGTAAAAATGCCATGTTATAATTAATTTACAGCAAAAATAATAATAATAAAAAAAATTAAAAATTCAAGCTATAGTACACTTACACCAATATATGATTAATCCTTGTTTCCTCATCAGTTGATACACTTATGGTATCAATTTAAAAATCCTACTTTGTGAAGAAAGTTGGGCGTCTAAGTCGTCCACTCACCAAGCAAGGTGACAACAAAAGCCTTTTAAGGCTGTGAGGTAACCATAATCATCACTCTCTACCAAATTGATGTTTTAAATATTGGTACTAGTGTAAGAGACAGGGCGCATTTAAAATCATAAAATAACTTATGGCTTTGTTCTCCGAAAAGTTGGGCATAACACTGACCACGACCTACATCAAAACATGAAATGAATAGAATACCTCAATTAAAATAAATATGCAAAGTCCAAATAGCTCAGTTAGGAAGTTAGCTTATACAAAAGCAGCAGCACAGTTAACCTTTTATCCATTGAAAGCTTAACTGGACAGCACAGTTTCTGTCACATTTCAGGCTGCTTATGGAACAAAAATGACTGGGTTTGCATCAGAAGTTGGCAAGGGTAGTTTCTGCCTATGCAGCTACCCTTAGAAAAACTTGGAAACCATTCTAATAGAAATCAAACCACGTTTTTATTGATATATACTGAGAAGCCAAAATTCGTCATTAAGGGTTCAGAGGAGGTTGTCAAATGTCATCTTTATTGGGGAAAGATTTCAATTGAAAACAGGAGAAAAAAGTAAAAATAAAGTTAAAAAAACTCAAAGAATGCAAGTTTAAATGTAACAACAGATTCAATAAACCGATCCACAAGGCCTGTAACACTGTGGGTGTGGAGCTTGATTCTTTGACAGAGGTCTCAGAAAGGAAGCTACTGTCCAAGTTATGATCAGTACTAGACAATCCTTCACACCCTCTCCATCTAATGCTGTCACCACAGAAGCATGTTTTGCAAAAGACACCACAGAACATATCTACCCGTGACCATCAAACTTTACAACTCCCCCTTATGACACCTGGATAGTTTTTACTTGTACTATCTTGTTTAAAGTGTACATTTTGCTTTTAATAGTTCATAAATTTTATGAAAGTCAGCATTTACAACAAAACAATACAATCCTCTGATAATTAAGTAAAAATGTACCAGGCAAGGCTTCCTTTATATGGCCTTGTGTCAGATGTTAGAGAAAGACTGGTGCTGAGGGTGGTCCTCTTAGCAGTCCTTTACATATTTAGACAATGTTGACACTATTTGTGTCCCATTTGTTGTTGCTGTAAGCATGTTGGATGGCTTGGAATTACTGATACATGCTATGGCTAAAAATTGGGGAGCAGTCAAACAGCGTTTCAACTGCAGATAACATTATCAACACCCGTACTATGTCCTCGGTTGTGTTTACCTGATGCAATGAGTTGCAATAATGGAATGATTTACAAGCTTTGACAAGAGTTACTTAAAAACCCTCACTTCAGTTGAGACTGCTTCTCAGCAGTTACTCTGTAACAGTTTAAAACTGAGACATTGTGTCTGTGCAACAAATCCCATTTGGGTCAACAGCCAAAGCTGCTGGTGATCATTGCACCCACAAGCGACATGACTAGACAATGAACCACCTCCAGAAAGTGACCGATCACACAAGGCACTAATACACAGTTTCTAACACTCGTTTCTGGTTATAATCCTTCCACACAGGTACATTACACTTCCTACGCCGACTGCTGACTTTAAGATCTTCATCAGTTGGATCTGAAATCTTATTGTCTGCTTTTTTCCTGTGGCCTCAAACCTTCCTATTGCCTCAGTGATTGGGGTTTGCAGTTGGGGGGAACCTTTGAGTTGAATACGCATATGTGGTATGGCAAGCTTCTTTAAGAGCTCAGTGAGAAAGACTTATGATTAATAATTCTGTTCTTGAATTCAGGGTGCTGAGCTGTGAAAAAGGTGTAGCCATTCAGGATGGTAATGTCAGGTTGTACCACACTTGCAGGTGTAGGTGCCAACCATCTGGTCCATGGTATCTATACTTCCTTTGGCTTGTTGTTGAATGTGATCAATTATATGTTTCCCCCTCCCCTTTCTGGTATTTTAATCCAACACTTTGTTACAATACATTGTGCTGAGGAGTACAACAGTCGCCCTTTTCTTTCTGACATAGCCAACTATGGTAAGGCTGCCATTGAATCCAACCTCTGTGTTGTAAACTTCCCAGGATGAGGAAGGATGGAAAGATGTCTGCCTTGTCCCATTGTAGTTCCCACAATTGTGTCTCCAGTAGACACTGTGCAAGAGGCACACTGGAGAAAAAGTCATCTGTAGTGAAGTTGTGTCTTGTGTTTATGAGTCTACTCCACAACCAGTGGACAACGTTTTCCCTCAGCTTTTTCTGCACTTCTTTCACCAAGTAAATTATTCCAAATATTATATTGCAGATGTCGGCATAACAAATGCAAACGATTTTCAGGCCATACTTGACGGGCGTGTTTGGCATCTACTATGGAAATTTTGTCTCCCCCTGAATGCCACAAGTTGACCATCTAGGGTGGCACAATCACTGGTGATGAACACTGTCTGAATGATGAATGAATACCATCTGTTAATTCTTGTTGTGAAAAATAATCTCCCTAAGTGGTGATACTCTAGCGGCCCACGAAAATATATATTCCTGACATTAACAGTTGATAAGAATCAAAAGATTCCATTAAAATTCCATTGGAAATGACTGCAGATCATTTTTAATCACTTATGGAAGTTTGGTGTAGTAATACAACAATGACAATTTTGTAAAAATGTTTAAAAGGCCATTTAAAAATGTAAATGGCATGACATTAAAAACATGTTTTTGAGGAATAGCTGGAACATGGAATGCAAACAACTTGTCATTAATTAGATATTGCAAGAAAACATCCTGACCGGGTCATTTGTGACCCACTAATGCATCTAAGGCTTAAAGTTGTTCTATGTTAAGCCAATGTGACTGCAGCGAGCTGGCCACAGCAACTGTCTGAGCTTGTTTTCTATCTGTATATAGTTGGACTTGTGATTAACTTCTGTTAATCACAAGTCCAATCTGTGTTCGAAGCTAGCTAGCTAGATGCAACACTAAAGCAGCACTGGCTGCAAAAAGTGGCAGAAAAGCAGGATAAATATAAAATACCTACGCTTTCACCATATTAGTAATGGCAACCATACTCCGCACGATCCTAAGATATCGCAATAGCAACTATGTTTTTCCAGACGTTTGGTACGGCCTGTACATGCAGCCAGAGCTAAAAAAAAAAAAACAAAAAAAACGTTCCCAACTGACAGTCTGACTGACTGTCTTAACAGCAGCTTACCTGTAGGTAGCAGATCTAAAACGCTGTGAAGAGCGTCAGAGTCGAGCCGTACTGATGTGGAGCTGCACGCATATTTACTGGAGAGCTCGTTTATCTGTCACTTTTAAACGAAAAGCTGCCTATTCCCGTTCAGCTCTGTGCAAACTGCTAAGAACCCACTAGTGGAAGTCACTCGCACGTGAACGGGGTTTTGTAATCACGTGATAGTTCCTGGCCACTTGATTGGATGAAGAGCTACAGAGCCGTTGAAAAGAAGCCGCGGTCAAGTGACCAAGGCAACGATTTTTTTTTCAGCCGTGAACTCTAAAAAATGAAAGGTATTTCACTGCTTTAGGTATTTATTTATTTTAAATTTATTATAAAACATTTTTTATTTTAATTTTAAATTGTAAATAATTTTAAATTATTTATTTAAATAATTAGTAAAACTTTTTTTAATTTAAAAAAATGCTTTTTTAAATGTTTTAATATTTTCAATTTCAATTTTCAATTGATTTCCTCGTTTTAGTTTTTTTATTGGTTGGTTTTGTTTTTGTTCTGTTTTTGTTATCTCAAGTGTCACTTTTGGTCTTTTTAAATTATTATTATAAAACCCTAAAATCAGGGTCAATATATAAGAATCTTAAAGTAAGTATAATAATACAAAGGCAACAGTTTGTGAAGGTAGGTCCTGTCTCACATGCTCAAATACAAAGGGAGGATTTGAATGCCAAATGTGACCAAAGTGAAAAAGACTTTATTTTATCTTAGTCTTGTAACTAGATTATATTATTGTTTGGGTTTCATTTGTCCCCCAGAAATTTAGTTTGAATTTGTCTTTTGTTTAAACCTAAATTTACTTTTTAGTTTAGCTTTAGTTTGCTATAAACAGTAGTAACATATTCTGTGGATGTAATATATTGTGTTAAACAGTGTGGAAAGTAACTTAATCTCAGAGGGAAATAATGTCAAGCTTCTTACCCACACTGATATTTAACTGTTCAACAGTCCTGGGTCTTCTTTGTCATATTTTTAGTTTCATGATATTCCAGATGTTTCTACTGGTCAAAGGTTTGGACTGCAGACAAGCCAGCAGCATGCCCTCTTCTAGTAAATACTATCAACTTTAATGTAATATTTATATGAAATGCTAAACAAAGAACATAAAAGTTAGATAAAGCACAACAGATACAGAAACAAGCATACAAATAATTAGACTGAAATTTGCCTGTTAATGAAGTGTGCCAATGCACCCATGTTCCACCTCTTATAGACCAATTTGTCATTCTTTAGTTTAACTTATGGCAAAACCAGTATTTTAAATTATTTTCATTGCTTAGTTTCCTTTAGTCACCTTAAAGAAAAAATGAGGCAGAAGTTGTCAATAAATTTAATATTATAATGAAAAATTAAACATTCAACTTATTCAATTATAAACTGCAGAACTAACTTTGATGTAAATTGTTTCTGTATTTGAAGGTACTATTAAAGGAATTATACAAATATTTGACTGAAGTGGCGGGTTTAATTATCTACAATTTATCAAATGTAAACGAAGCACTTTTTACAAGCCCAAGATGTCTTAAAAAAAATTAACAAACAAGAGAATCTATTACAAAGAATGAGACAAAAACACTCTTGGGGGAGATCTTTCTTCATTTTTCAAATTATATTTTGAGGCCAACAATTTACTTTCACAAAAATAATTAATAAAAAGAAAAAAAGAAAATGAAATGTCTCTATAAGGTAGAAAGAGTTCCATGCCCTCAAGTTTGGTGGGCAGAGGCTTTGCATAAGTAGCAAAAAAGAAATACCAACACAAATGAAAAATAACAGGTTCAAGTAAAAAGTTTAGTCATAACAAAGTTACACCATAGTCTGGTGTACTCTTGGACATTAAGACGGTTGTTGAGTTTAATTTTTGGTCAGAGGAATCAAACTGAGCCTATGGGACCAGTTCCTCTAATGACTTCTCCACAAATAAAAAGTGCTCAGTAAGACTCAAAAAACTACTTAGAAATATAAGTTGGCACTGAAATGTGCAAGAAATGGAAAATTTGAAATTCTTGATGGTAAACCTGCAGGATCGGGCATGACATCTTCAGTGGATGCTTATAAACATTGAGAGTTTAACACATCAAGCCCGTTGACATGTATTAATTGACTTTTTTATCACTGGTGGTATCACTTGCTGCTGTGTCATAATGGCACTTCTCCACACATCGTCTTGGAAACCATCCTCTTACACGGTCTCCAGCTTTATGCCAAACAAAAAAAATAGAAAGTTACACATTTGTTACAGTGACTTTACACGACACTTTGTTACAGTGGTTTTGAAAATTCAACGGGACAATAATTCCTTACCTCTCAGGTGCTCCTCACTTAAAACTTTATCTCCATACATCCACCATCTAAAGGAAAAAAATTACAGTTTAAAAAAAATGACTTATCAAATACCTATAAAGCTTATTAGCCTGTGGGGCCAGGTTCACCCCTTAAATGCTACACTAAGGTATGTGGTGTACCATGAATCAGCAGCTGGAGGTGAGGCATTTACAGGTCAAACACTGTTGTTGTTTGACTTCTGTGTTAATCCCAGTTTTTCCATAATGCACTCGGAAAACCAAGGTGGCAAGTAGAACGAAATTAGCAACTGGCTATCTGGCTGACTGCTAGGATCTGCTTGGGACGAGTGACCGTAAATGATGTGGCCTACTTATGACCAAGCTGTGGAATCTGTCACTCAGACCCAAGTGGACCCCTAGACTCATGAAGTGGAAACTATGACATGCTAATTAGACTGCTGGTTGACCACACTCAAAATCAAACACCAAACAGGAAACAGTAGTTCTGTGCAGACAAACTTACTTGGTACCACGAGTAGCCAGAATGGTATCCCCCTTGCAGAGAGGGATCCTGGGTTCCTCGGTGCAGGGGGTTCTAAAAAAAGTTTGTAAACCCTTGCTGAGAGGGCAGCAAGCTCCATTATAATCCTCTACTGCCCGGTACTGGACCTGCTGGTCAAGGCAAATATGATACATGGTTATTCTACTGCTCTGAACATCAGTTAAAAGTTACTTATGTATGTATAGAAAGTCTTTAATCTTAGTGCTTTGACAAATCTCACAGTACTGATTATAAGATCTACACTATAAGAAAGGTATCTGTTAATTTCATTCTCTATGGTGTATTGGATTGTTACAAGCTAAGATGTAGCTCATCAATTTCCTGACATGAGATGATTATAAATATGATCCTCAGTGTTTATTTAGTATCAGTCCCTAGTACTTCAGCATGAAAATACACTCTTCTTGACCTGTATGTTTTGCTTGTTGCACACACTGCATAAGCCAAATTCATGCAATGCATAAATAAACCCCTGACAACACTTAACAGTTATGTGCATTGAAAACTACAGTCTTATCACAAGTATTTATTCTTTAACTTGGTTACTTACACTTCTCACTCGTTTATCAGCTTTCTGTTTCAGTTGCTCAATCTGTGTAAGGAGAAATAACAGGTACAAATTTTATTTATAAACTGAACTTTTATAAGAAATGTCTAATTAGTCATCACTGAATCTATGGAGTTAAACAAAAACATGTTTTTTTCTAATTTTAAGACAGAACAGTAACAAACAAAACACAATCAGTAATGTCTACATTACTCAACTCAACCTACAGTTAAGGTGTGCTGGTGACACTTGGGATGGACTGGCCATACAATGCCATCGCCTCTGGGTGTCCCCGACCACGTGAAGACTTGTTTAAAATTCAGCCAGCGGCTGCCGAGGTCGTACGGGAAGATAAACTCTTCCCCTGTTTGGTAGTGCTGTATTCTGTCTTTGGCCTATTAAAAGAAAGACAAGCAAATCAAGAAAACACATTTTCTAGTACTGTCAGAGGGTACTATAACCTGTGTGTCTCAGTCATTTTTAAATATGAAGTACTGCAATGATATGATATGGTACTGAGTGAATATAAAAAATCACATCCCAGATTACAGTTTGTGAATCAAGAGAAAAAGACACTGATATCTCAAAATGTTATCAGGAATCAAAGTCAGGGGAAATCAAGCAGAGACATTCTGACCTTTTCCTCTATCCACGACTCGATTGAAGTCTTATTTCGAAGGATGACTTTCATCTGAAAAGGACACACACTCATTATCAGAGTCAGCAATCTCTCGGCCTATATTTCCTTAAATAAACTGCTTTGTTATTGGAGTATTGAATGGAGCTGGATATATACTACACATGTCCAAGCTTTAAACTTATAAAATTGGTTTCACTCTTTCTTGCTTAAGAAATTTCAGTTACCATTTATTTATTACAGCTATGCAGTTTATCTTTTTTATGCTATGCACTGTCTTTCTTTGTCCCTTTATGTTATGTTAACCATTGTTGTCACATTATTTGCAAATAAATAGGTAGGAGTATGGATCCATGCATTTGCAGAATTCTAACACAGTTTTATTTCTGATATGCCTACATACGCCACAATATGCTCTCTGGTCAGATCTTCACCAGATGTTTTCCACACTGCTCTTGTCTTGAAGTGAAAACATGGCTTGCAAGATGTAATGTGGCTTTGTAGGATAATGAGTAAAATAATCAGACAAATGTATGTCTTTCTCTTTTCTTTTTTTTTTAACCAAAAGCTTGTTAAGTTTGCAAAACTTAGGAAAAACTCACCTGTATAACGAAAAGCATACCAACGGCAATAGTGGTGCCAAGTGCCAAACCTAAGGCAAAGAGTGTAGCAGCGAAGGCAGGCACACTGAAGGGCATGAGGGGCTGAAATTGACGCACAGCACTCATGTCAATCCTTACAGTACTCCAGCCGAATGATATCTGCAGTGAAGAAAGAGGAAACAGCTTTATTAGCCTGGTGGGGGTTCGGCCTAGAACTGTGATAACAGGACATCAAAAGCATGGTGGGGCCAGCGCAGGTGACAGCTCACCCTCTCATACAGCTGTGTGTACATAGTCATAATGAAGATAACGGCAGCGTGTGAGCAACCCAGTGGAGCCAGGAGCAGGAAGCTGGTGAAGTAGGCGTGATTCAAGTGGCCACAGCAGTTGTTGATCCAGGGGCAGTGGTGGTCCATTTTCATCACGCACCTGAAGGAATGGAGATGAGGAGGAGTAACAGGACATAAGAGTAATAATCTGCGGTCAAAGCTCATTTTTCAATCATCATACAACTGCAAAAACAGACATTTCACATCAATAGACAATCACTAATGATGTGCTCTAAGGTATGGAGCACTCTAATGGAGTGATACTTGCATGAGAGGAAATAACATGCACTTAAGGGATGTTTTCTTCTGAAATAGTAGTTTGGTGTGCTGCCAATAGCTCAGTAATTTTGCAGCTGTAATGCCCCGTTCCTGAACCAATTTCTTTGGTCACAAGTCAGTGTTTTTCCATCACAAAGAATTTTTTTGCCACTCCCCAAAACCTTTTTAGTCAGCAATCAAAGGAGAAGCTCTCCTCTCATTCACTGCCACACTATTTTGTACAGGTGAACCGTTTTGACTGTGTTTAATAAATAAATTTAATAATAAATGTAAATACCTGTTACACTTTCGACAGTGGTGGGACCTGGGAGCCTTGTAGCCTTGACACCCTCTGCAGTACTGTAGGTACTGGGTATCCTGCTGATTTTCCTGTTTCAGCATAGACAGGTGTCAGATAATATATGGATTTATAACATTTAAATAAGTTCATGCTTGCTAATGTTTGTGTGCTAAAAAAATTATATGAACTTATCCTTACTGGTTTCCAGCCAAGAGGAATGTATCCAGGTCCAACAAACATAGCATTGAAGTAGTTGTAAAGTATGAGGACAGTCCAGTTGATGAGCATGATGAAGTTAATGCTCCCCCCTGTAGTGTCTAGAGGCCAGTACCAGATAATGGAGTCTAGAATTGCCATTGTGGAGCATATAGCAATGACAGACAAGGCTATGATTGGACCCCAGTGGCACAATCTCCGAACCTCATGGAGGTTCTTAAAGGTCACAAAGGTTGACAGGAAGTTCATTTTTTCAGAGCTAGTTTAATTCTAGTATTTTGGCTGCTGGACTCCAGAAATTTCAAATGTCAATGTATTAGTGTTTTGCTCTGCTATCTCCCAAAGTCACGGGTAGAGGTGATACACATATTTTTTCTCGTCCTCTGAGTATCCAGGAACAGGCCCAGTCTTGAACTACTGACGCGTTCTGTGTCCCACGATTTCTTGTCCTGGCAGAGAGCAGCATCCTCTCTTGTCAATCCCTGAAGCACACGGTCTTTGTGATGGACTCAAGTTTCCCATCTGAAAGAGAGGGGGAAAGCAGTTTTAAATCATAAGCAGTGAAATTAATTAGTGACAGAGCCAGGAGTCACATCAAGCTAATGTTTTTTCAGTAGTTACATGTGTCACCTGTCCCAATATTTCTGTTATGGTAACAAACAACAGCTGATAACTAGGGACCTTTTATTTGGGATCTATACATAATCAGTTAGATGACCTTTCTGAAATAATTAAAGAATTTTCAGAAGCTTATTAAGTCTTGTTTAATTGGGATTGTTTTGCAAAAGTATTGTGAAAAAGTATTTGACTGATTTCTTAGTTTTTTTTTTTGCATCTTTATCACACGTGCATTTTCATTGTCTAATATTATATTTTGTTTTAAAAATAAAAAAATGCCATCTTTAAAACAAACTGTCTAGAAATAGTTGCCTACCTTGTTAAATCATGAACTTTTTTTTCTTTTAACTGAGTTCATTTTCACCAACCTGATTACTGCCAGACCTGTTGAATCAAGAAATCATTTCAATAGAGACTATCTGACAAAAATTAACGTAGTCTAAAAGATGTCAAAAATATCAACATATCATGGCACAATAAAAAGAAACAAGTGAGAAACAAAGTCATAGCCATCTATCAGTCTGGAAAGGGTTACAGAGCTCATCTAAGGCTTTGGGACTCCAGTGAACCATTATCCACAAATGGAGAAAACTTAAGAGCAGTGGTGAACCTCCTAGTCTCCGGCCTACCAAAACACTCCAACATCAGTGTTCATTATTCAACAATAAGACAGGGATCAGGGAAAAAATCCATGGGAGGGTTCCTAGTCGAAACTGCTCAAAAAGAACACAAAGCCTCATCTCATATTTGACAAAAACCATCTTGAAGATCCAAAAGACTTATGGGAAAATTTTTCTGGGGACTGAGAAGACATAAGTCTAATTTTTTGGAAGGTTTTGTCCTGTTACAGGTGGCATAAAACTAGCACAGCATTTCATAAAAAGAACATTATAGAAACAGCTAAACATGGTAGTGGTCCTGCTGCTTCAGGACCAGAATGACTTACTGATGGAACCATGAATTTTAATATCTGAAAGAAATTCCTAGTAGAATGTCCAACCTTCAGTTTGAGTCCTGAAGCTCAAGCCCACCTAGGTTATGCAGCAGGACAATGACATGAGAAACACCTGCAAGTCTACCGCTGAATGGTTAAAAATAAACCAAAATAACATTTTTGGAGTTGCCAAGTCAAATTCTGGACTTTAATCCGATTGAGATGCTTTGGCATGATCTTAAACATGCTCAAAAAACCTTCAATTTGGCTGAATCAAAACAATTATGCAAAAAAAGAGTGGACGGAAATTGCTCCACATCAACGTGAAAGACGGATTGACAGCTATAACAAATGCTTGACTACAGTTCTTGCTGTCAAGGTTGACACAACCACTTATTAGTTTTAGAGGGCAATTACCTTTTCATACAGGGCTACGTAGGTTTGGATACCCCCTCCCCCCATTAATAAATGAAATTATCCTTTAAAAACTGCATTTTGCATTTACTCGTGTTATCTTTGTCTAATGTTAAAATTTGTTTGATTATCTGAAACATGTAAATGTGACAAATGTGCAAAATACTTTTTCACAACACAATTTATGTCATACTGCTAATGAAAAAGATGTTATTCGTGCTTTAAAAAAACAAAAACAACTCCTCGGTAGTTGCAATAAAAATACTGAACAATCATGACTAACATTTTTAGCTAATGACTTAAAAGCACGTACAGAAACGGCAATAAAACATACCACACTAATGTAGACAGTGCTGGATTTGTATTAATATTAAATTACCAAACTAAAAGCAGAACCACAGCATTTGCTTCATTGACTAATTAGCTTGTGTTACCAAGCTAGCTAATTCTCGCCAGAAAAAAAAAGATTAATAATTACGATTTATATGCAAGTCTTCTATCCATCACTGCACAGTAATGGACAGAAAACTATGCGTTAGACAACTCCGCTTTAAAAAAAATCAACAGACAGGTGATAAGTTTATGCCTTTAGCTCTAAAATTGTGTTTCCGTTAGCACCGTGGGTTCAGCAGTTATCGTTAGATAGCTAGCCTAGTCTCCAACATAAACACTAATAACGTAGCATGCTGAACACTTACCACGAGGGGCAAACAGAAAACAAAGATAACCTAAATGACAAATGCTTTGTTTTTAATAAATAGAAACAAAAGGCTGTCACTTTAAATCACCAACCTGGTCACTTCCTTATTTTTTTTTCATAAAAATTTCCTGTGTACAGTGAGGAACCTTCTTCATGGTGTCTCAGAAACTAATACCCTCCACCACTTGTAGATACCTTTTAATCCAAGTAGCAGTCTATCACCGAAACGGCACAGAACTACAAGAGTTATTCATGTATTCAAATTCGGTCTGAAATTAATAGCATTTTCTGTCCATCTTTCGAACCTTTTTCAGTGTCGAAAACGTGAAAACAAAGTCAAGTTCCTTACCGAGCACATTATACTGTGACTCAAGGAAGAAGCTCCATTCGAGGCTTGTTGTTATTCTGAGCTAACTGTCAACCAGAAAGCTAGTTACCTGTTGTAAACTCGACTACCAGAATGTCTTCAGACTTTGAAGCATACGAGCAGGACTTTGGAACAATTACCGCAGAAATAACTAATAAAATTGGCCGAATTCCCAAACTAAGTGGAGGTAAGAGTTTCATTTATAAGCTGTTAAAGCTCATCTGGCTTGCTAGCTCCAGTCTCAGCTGACAAGGCAGCTAACGGTAGCGATAATGTGATTTCATCCAAATATTGGTCAAACTAGTGGTGAAACACAGCTATATAAAAAGAGTTTTTGTTATATAAAAAGAATGTGTCATGTATATGTGGCCGTCTTCTTATCTTGGTATGTCTTTGATAGGTTTAGCCGGTGTGAAATAGTGTTAAAGAACATCCTAACTCTGTTTATGGTGTTCAGAAGAGGATAGAAGCTTCAAATCACTTTAATGAGTAGGTTAATATTAATTGAAACTATTCAACTGAAGTAATCTTTTAGTGTTATCATAGGGATTTAGTGCATGACATTCTTGCCAATACTTACCATAAAGAAAAACCTATGGATGTTTTTGTGGACAATCATCGTTGGAAAAGTTAAGTTTTGGAATGGCACCGATATCACAGCAGCTTTCAGTGACACTTTTGGGGAGTGTTGTTATTAGTTTTACTGTGGATTTCAGTTTTAGCCAGTTTAAAAATAATTCAGCCTTTTGATACCAGCAAGTTTGAAAGCATACGTTTCTTAATATGTTAGCAAGGGCCTAGTGACTAATATGATGGACTAATAACTTTATCCTGGTATTGACTTAAATATTTAAAAGCGTGTCTTTGGTTGACTATTTATTTAGCTCTTTACATTCCATTCACTTTTATTTATATAGCGTTAAATCATAACAGCAGTCACTGAAGGTACTTGGATTAGAGCAATGTAACCTTCAGTGGACGGCTTTTCCAGCAAAAGGTTAGCAGTTTCAGAAATTTTCTCATTGATCTTCAGAACACAGTCCTGGATGCAGCTGTAGATGGTGTACTCTGGTTCATCCGTGCATGCTGTCCAGCACAAAGGACAGTGTATCAGCGGCGAGGTCCATAGTAGAAGTTACAGAGGGGTTTGAGGTGGGATTACATCAAGCATCAGGCCTGAGTTCCTTCTTGTTTGCAGTGATAATGGACAGGTTGATAGATGAGGTCAGGGAGGAGTCTCTGTGGACTTTCATGTTCGCAGATGACATTTTGATCTGCAGTTATAGTAGGGAGCAGGTTTAAGAGGTCCTGGAGGTAAGTTGAGGTATGGACTAGAAAGAATAGGAGTGAAAGTCAATAGACAAGACAGAATACATGTGTGTGAATAAGAGGGAGACAGATGTAACAGTTAAGATGGATGAGTTTAAATAAAAGCAATGCACAGTGCACAAGAAAAGTTAAGAAAGGAGTACAGGAGAGGTGGAATAGTGTCAGAGTTTATTTGTGACAGACGGACAACAGCAAGAGTAAAAGGAAAGGTTTTTCGAGACGGTATTGAGACCTGCTATGATGTATGATTTGGAGACAGATCATTAATAAAACCACACAAGACAGAAAGTTGTTAAGATGTTTTTGGGAAGTGGCCAGAATGGATTAGATTAGAACTGAGTACATCAGAGTTTCAGCTCGGATTGAGCAGTTTGCCTACAAAGGTGGAGAGAAAAGGCTGAGATGGTTTGGAACTGTGGAGAGCAGGGATAGTGAATGTATTGGACAAAAGGAGGAAAAGAGGAAGACCACAGAAAAGATTCATGCATGTAGTGAAGGAGCACATGATAGGATGAGGTGGAAGCAGATGGTCTGCTGTGACAACCCTTAAAGCGAGCAGCTGTAAGAAGAAGACATTGCTGGTTTCATCAGTTTGTTAAAGTGATAGCATTCTGTCATTCTATCAGACTTAATTCAGACATAACCAAAGCCGCATGTAACACTTTTTGAATGATATATTTAGAATAGATTGTTATTAAATTGTAGCTCTTCAAGTGTGACTTTGTTGATTTTCTAAAATGAAAACACAGGTATCAGCTGGTAGCTTCTGGTCTAGTCTTCTTAGAGTTGTTTTGCCTCTTCATTTGTATGACCCGCAACTCCTTCACTTTTGAAACACTCATTGATCGATTCTGATGCTGTAGGAGTACAAATCTGACTCTGTCTTCATAAACTTTATCACAAAATTTTATTTAAAGATTTTATTCTGTGATATAATTAGAACTGAAAGCTCAACATACATGTGGTCCATGTGTGCTTCCAGCAATTAATGCCGTGTTCACACCACTGATAAGAAGCTACAAACTGACGCCTGACACTTGTTGATGCTTTATGTGCATCAAATCAAAGTTGAGCTGACGTCCATTTTTTTTTCTTCAACCTATCATATGCTTGATGCAAATAGACACTTGAGCGACACTTCCGTAGCAAACCAGTGACAGTGTCGCTTGCGATGTCTGTCTGTCTTTGTAACATTGTCTGGTTGTGAGAATTTAACATTAAGGAAGGCAAATTGTGTCTTCTAAGCTCTCATTGATGTTTAAGGAGGATTATTATTCTGTTGAAATGTGGAAAAAGCATTATGTTCTAATTTTGTTTTGTACAATAGGAAGCCTCTTTAACATGTCTGACCACAATTTTGATAAAGGTGTAGCTTTGAAACTTTTTTGAGATAACTTTGGGCAGCTGGAGAACACCTTATTACTGTGTAGGATATTCTCCTATATAGTCATGTCTTATTGAGCTGGGCAACTTAAGATGCTGGAGAGACATCTGCATAGTGGTAATCTTTTTATAGTTGGTTAGTTTTTGTAAATTTTACTTGTTCAGACCTATTAAGACTGCTGTTTGTGGAACGACTTTGGGTATTTCTCCCCTCTTCTGCTCTGCGTGTATCAGTTTCGGAGGAGAAGCAGAAGAGACATACACATGCTTGCATACACAGTGAAACAGACAGCAGAGGAGAGAAACAAAACTGCATTGGACTCTTTTGAACTGAGCTAAAATAAAAAGTGTGCACAAATATTGATAGTATCAATAGCAATTCTGGTATTGATACTCAGATCGATACTTTTTAAAAAAAATATCCCCTTAAGTTCAGTATGTAGCCGTCTGAATTGTATTAAATTAATTAATTAAATTTAATAATTTTTTTGGAAATGAAAAAATATACCTCAAACATACACTATGAAAAATGTCAAACAACAGAAGTTGACATGACCTTTAGAGACGGGCACATTTACATTCTAGGTCTCAAAAAAACTCAGTTTGAAAAAAACATGAAAAGGTGTATTTTGTTTTGTTAACCAGTTATTAATGAAAGTAAAAATCAGAGTGTGTTAATAGTCACTATTTGCAAATTGATGATGAGCCATCTTTTAAGTCGTGAGTGACTGCTCTCCCCAGCATAAGCTGCCTATCTAGGTTTAAAGTATCAGTACTGGCCATTTTGGCCCTGTATTTACTTGGTATCAGATCAATACTAAAATCTGCAATATCGCACCGCACTACTTGACTACATTTTCAGATAGCAATGTGTTGTTAATGTTAGATAGACCTCTTTTCTCATCACCAGTTCTCATACTTGGTTCTGTAGGTTTCAGACATATGAAATCCTGACTGTCTGAGCCTGTTTTTGATACTGTAATTTATATTCTGCAGGATCTAGGATCTAGGCACGAATGCATGGCTTTGACTTTTTTCTTTGAAGGGAGTCTTTAAAATGTATTTATGTTTACATTTCTGTACTGTGAAGCCCTGCACTAAAAGAGGGTTTAGAGGTGGGTTAAAACCTACAGATGTTGTTAACCACCTGGCTCTGGGTCTTCCCATCTTGTTTTTCCTACATGTAGATTTACCAGATTGCTGCATTAGTGTTTTGGTGGCAGGCAGGCAGCTGAAAGACGGGCAGCTTGTGGATTTGGCTAAGCCTGGAAGGGAAACATGAGTTTGGATGACATGGAAAAGGCCAGAGCTAGTTGGCCAGTTGTGATTTAACTTTAAAATGTAATACTTTTACTTAACATACCCATAAATGAATGTAGACATATCAATGGGTAATACTTTCCTATTTAAAATGACTTAATACAAAGAATAGATAATAGAATGCATAATAGAAAGTTGAGCTTCAGTTGCTCCCTTATTTCACAAGGGATCACCACAGTAAATAGCTCCACTATTGACATTGCAGATTTTTTTAAAACCCCAGATTCCCTTCCTGATGGAACCCCACAGGGATTTATGTCTCCTCCTGGGATCGAACCGTATCGTTTGCTTGTTAGGCAGATGTATAAACAGCTACACTGTCATCTGACACCACTCAATACCAATCACAGTTATAAGCTGAGACAAAATAGTCATTGAGTTTGTATTTGTTTTCTCAGTGCAAGAGCCTTTCTGCACAGCACCTTCTTCCATTTTTACGGTCACTTTTCAAAATTAAATGGTATTTTGCAGTGTGAAATACACTGGGTGTTTTTAGTTTACAGCTACACTAAGCCAAAATGGTGGGAAATATATATCTAAAGGTGGATATGACAATTAATTTAAGGCTGAACTACTACATATTAAAATTTTGGTGTCCACACCTAACTGAGTAGGAGCAACCATTATTACTACTTACTTACAGTGAGTGTTAACTAGTAGTTTGTTTTAAGTTTTCAGATTTCATATGTGGAAGCTTTATCTCTTCCTCTCGGCTCACACTTGCTCATTGGGTTTTCAAAGGCGCTGCTCTCACAAAACCTCGCTTGACTGAATATTTCTGGTTTGGAATTGGCATGTCTGAAGACTCATGGCAGCCCATTCCGCAGAGTAATTTCTCATTGCTTCCTCTCACCATCTGTTGACTGTGTCAGAGGAAGCCTGTATGAATATGTACAAAGCTAGAAAATGCATTACAACCATAAGTAGTTGTTGTGTGTTTTCTGACACCAATGGAATAGTTTACAGTTGAATTTCAATTCCCTTCCTACTCATTAAGTTTTTCTTAAGTTCTTTTGGCTCTTCTTACCCAAGTGGATGCATTTTGCCCATGATATCCCCTCTGTTTAATATTTTAAAAAGGAACCATAACATTGTTCTTGTAGTTTATTACTTTTACTTGGCATGTTATGTTGTTGATAATGGCCATGGCATGTGGAAAACATGACCTAGATGCTCACAAAACAATTAAAAAAATATTTATACATTAATTTTTGTATATTATTTATTTGCAACATTGCTCCAAAACTCAACATCAAGAAGAAATTTGAATAAGAATACTACGAACAGAACAAGACTCAACATCCTTGTTCTACTAAACATGGCTCCAAGTTTTCACTTTTGAATGTTCATGGCAAGAGATTATTTGTCAATCACTGGCATTGAAATATGAAACATAAAAAGTAAAAGAAAAATACCAAGCCCTTTGTTTTCTTTATTTTTGCCTTACTTCTGTGTACAAAACTCCTCATCCGTCTGTCAGCAGGTTCTAGTCTTGGTAAATAGCCATACATATTTCACAGCCCTCTAGCTCGGGCCTGAGCCTGAGTACGAAAGCGTCATCTCATCTTTCACTGAATTGCCTCTGGCTGTTTACTATAGAGGTTGTAAGGTTGGACACAGGTTTTAAAAATGAATTTAAGGGCCATGTTGGCTTATGGCACCTGAGAAACGAAGATCTTGGCTTAGCTTTTTTTTTTTTTTATTGCAGTCCCAGAGCTGGGTATTCTTGTGATGTACTTTTGTTTGTATTTTACTTAAAATGCTTTTCATACTTTGCTTTTAAACCTTTATTAGAATACATCTGTTGGGGTTTCAAAAGCAAATAACATTTTCAGAATTTCTTAATTACTGTAAAAAAATGTAAGATTGGTTCGACTTTGTAGGCATCACCTCTTAACATTTACCATCTGTACTCAATACTGAGCTGGTGTTTAAGATGCTGCACTTTTTGTAATGATACATTTTATCTGTGAATTTATAATTATGTCACTTTTTGTTTTCTGGGATTTAAAAAAAAAAGTAATAATTAACAGAATTTTTATTGTCATTATATCAGGTCCACAGGTGTCCTCTTAAACTGTTAAACCAAATATACTACAAGGTCAGCACTTTGACTGACTGTTGTGATATGCTGATGCACTGATAACATTAACACAACTTTGTGTTACAAATGTACTCTAAACTATTTAAAATTTAGTATGATATATCTCACACCATGGTTAGCAAAAGATTTCCACAACACCTCAAGTCTGGGATGGTTCTAACATTAGTTTGGCTTCGCTTTTGCATTACATTGATCGCTTTGTCTTTTTCCTCGAACTGTTGTGTGGTGGGTGCATTGTTCCACTTAAGGGAGGCTGCTGCTGCTGGGGAGTGCTGTTACCACAGGGGTGTGCAACAATGACATATGGTGGATGTGTGATAAAGTAACATGCACATAAATCTCTTAACCCAAAGTTTCTAAAGTAAAGGCTGCATGTTAAGATGACATTAAATGTTATTTTCTTTACCCTCTTTTATATTTTTTATGTTATTAATGGTATTTATGCATAAAAGAATTTATTTCCTAACTTCATTTTTTTGTTTTCTTTATTATTATTAAACTATATGTGTAAGTTGCTTATACTTTATGTCAAAGCCTTGGGCAATGGTCTTTTCTTTTTTTTTCTTCTTGTTTTAAGTTAACATAAATATGCTTGATTAGTAAACACCATACCGCATACCATGAACAAACAAAATCTTTGGCCAGGATCTAATTTCAGGACAAAGACTAGTTCATGTAGATGTAGGGAAAGTGATAATGCCGTTGCCTTAAATAACTGTTGGAAGCGCTGTAGTTTGCACGCTGCTCTGGAACTCTTAAGTCCTAATGAGTTTCAATGGGTAATGTGGTAGAGCAGCCATGGGGTGAGGTGTAGAACAGTGCGTTAGTCATTCTGAGTGGGACTCATATTTCTGGCAAGTGAGCAAAGCTGACACCTCCCTTCCCTTTGAGTTGGCATGAGGTGTCTCGCTGCTCCTCAACAGAAACCAACAAAGGCCTCATAGACGCCAATAACTAAGAGACATCAAATGTTGGCTCGTCGTGTGGAGAGAATGTGTAAATATATCTTCAAATGTGTCCTCGTGTGTTGTTTTCTCCCAGTCTCTTTCTTTCTCTCTCCCCCTCTCTTCCCCCGTTGCGGGGGAGTTAGGCTGTTGTCATGAAGCGCTGTTCCTCCGTCGGCTGATCAATATGTTGCTGGGTTTTTTTTCTCTTTCAGAGGAGAAGACACAGCTGGTTCTAAATGTCGACAAACAGCTTGAAGAAGTCAGAGAGTTGGTATGTCTTTGATCAGTAATTTTCTCCTCTTCCCATTTCCTAAATAATGAATTTGTGGAAAGAGGGAGGGGACAATTTTCACTGGCACCAGACAACAGCACCTGTATTATCCTGATGGTGACATGACATGTAGACATAACACACATGCACACATATTTCACATGGCGGAAAGGAGGCTTCCTCCTCATATGATTACTTTCCCATAATCTGCTTTTAAGTGACACCCCTATGACACATTTCAAGCCATTATCTTGGGTGGGTGTCTTCATGTTGCTGTTTAAACATGAGCAAAGTCACCTGACAGAAACAAATTGTTGTTGCGGTTGTCTTGTTATGCCATAGTGATGAGTTTCCTCCAAATCTGCCACAGAGAGACCTGTCTACCCATGCATCAGATGTACTTTTGCTTCATTCACTCAGACATTGTTGGGCCCATGCGTGTCATGGCAATGAAGGAGCCCTCGTATTTGATTGTGTACTTACAGAACATACTTCCTCTGTTGTAACTTTTATCACAACTGAGTGACACCAGCAGAAGGCGTTTGATTTTACAATCGGCACTGGAGGATATTAAAGTTAATGCTGCTGAAGTTGAATCTGTTCAAAAGTGTTCAAATGGAGCACACAACTGTAAAACTTGCCCTTAAAAATTTTTTCAGGAAGCTGGTACAGGAAATATGATCATAAAAAAACCTAAACTTTTAAATGTAAAAATGTGCATATACAGTCTATTTTGTACTTTTAATATTTTAATGTAAATCTGTATTATAATGAGCTCTAAATCTGTCACTCTGGCAGTGTTTTATATTCCAAGTATTTCTTTTGATTTTGAAATGACTCTTAAAATTTCTGTTAGGAATGTTTGACTTTAAATGAATTGGATGAATTGTGGGTTTTAGCTGGAGCAGATGGACCTGGAGGTGCGAGAGATCCCCATCCAAAGCAGAGCCATGTACAACAGCAGGCTGAAGAGCTATAAACAGGAGATGGAAAAGCTTGAGAAAGACTTTGTAAGTATTTCAATATGTCATGAAATGTTTTTTTTAATTCTCATGCAAACGCAACAGTTGTAATAGTTGTAATGTTCTTACTGAGAGTGTAAATGATGCTCCATAATAAATAAGCGTCTATAAACTACTCATCATAAAACAAACACCCCAGCTTTTTTAAACTCAGAAATTAAATTATAAAATAAATGCATATTCAAAGAAATATCATTTGGAAAATTGGTTTGGAACCAGTCACTGCTGACACACACGTGTTGAATTTGTGGGTTACTTTTCTTCCACTCAGACGAGCTGGATGAAGTCCAGAGGCTGTGATGGTTTTCCATCTTTTCAAGGCCACCGTGCAGTTCTGTTGTTCCAGTGTTTTGTGTCATTATCTTACCAAAAAGATGAACCCCTGACCAATCGATCTGCCTTCGTTTGTTACTTGTTTTTTTTTGTTTTGTTTTGTTTTTTTGTCACATGTCCAATAGCGAAATACAGTACCGTTTTGTGCATGACCATATTCTGCTAATAATTCTTCAGAGGATGTAGTAACACTTTGTTCCATCACCGCCTTTGTTCAGACACATCGTTTTTGTAAGTAATCAGCAGAATTTGTGGCACGTGCATAAATCCCTTTCATGACATTTCAAGGCTTCACATACTTCCATCGCTCTGCAATAGCTGTAAATTAACCAAATAATTAAACATTAATCCTCGAAAAACACTTCTTTTCTCATGAAATTTGCATCATTACTTATTTATCTGTACTGTTAGAAAAACACCAAAAACTGTGGACTGTTTGCGTGTAACTCTCACTCTCGCAGTAATTCCTGCACTCACAAACAGACTTGCACTGAAGCTCAGCGGTGCATCCACAGAGGTTAATTCAGAGTTCATATCTGAACTTTCAAGCAATGCCTATCGAGAATGGGTTGTGCGTGTTTGTGTTGTTGCTGCAGAATCTGGCCTTGTTTAGTAATTCATAAATCACTGTATGTCTTGGCTTGATTTATCAAAGCTTAATGAACAGTCTGGTCTTTTGGGTCACTTGCTTTTAGTCTACATTTTGAGCTACCAATATTGCCCAAGGTACTTCACGTAATCAATAATACTCAGAAATACGCAATTATCCAGTGCAATTGAATCCAAAACTTTTTTAACCTCTTATTTTAATTATTATATCTTTAAATTGATCCTTGTGAAAGCATTTTAAATTGATTGTTGGCATTATAATGTTAAGAAAAATCGTAGTGGTAACGTATCTTTAACTATATCTTTTTTTCTGTGGTTGTTGTTGTTTTCTGTTGTCAGTTTTGTTTTGCTGGTGCTCATAACATGATAATAAACCCATAGTGTAAGAGCCGTTGACCTTGAGCTTGAGAGCACGTGTCCCTCCACGAATCAAGTTTTATGTGATTTAAATCCACAGCCTCAGAATGAGTTGGAAAAATATATACTGAATTGTTGAAGTCCTGTTGAGGAAATTCAGCAAAGGCTTCTCCTTAATGTGTTAAGTTTAGATGTTGGCCAAAATAACGAACAAACTTTTCTCCAAATCTTGGAATGAATAAAGTGTGTACTTTTCCACACAAATCTGAACTTTTTCTTCGCTTGTAGAGGATTTATTGGAGGATATTTGGATAGCTCAAGTTTAATGGGAAGGTTTTCAGGAAGTAACGGGAAGCAGTGCAATGATCATCACAAAAATGCACAATGCACAGCCAATATAATCAGAATTCCAAGTGTTGAGTAATTTTGATTTGATACAAAATGTCAAAATAAAAGTAGCAGTTGTGAGACTCAAAATAGACTTATGCACATATGAAAAAGTACATATTTATTTATGATATACTGCCCATCTATACCTCAGATGACTACTACAGTCCATGCTTTTCACCAACACTCATTATTTTTCTTAAATATTTGTTTGGTATCTAATCATCATTAACCACAAAATACTTTTTATATTCCCCCACCTCACCGCTCCAAACAAGTAAATATGCACAAACACCGCATTTAGATTCAAATAATATGTGCTAGTGATCTGTGAACACGCCACTGAGATGTGCTAACTGAGATCATAGAAGAGATCTCTGTGCCAAAACAGCTTGCTTTTCTCGCCATAGGCATTTAATTGGCTGACGATTAATCTTTAACTTTTCTTCTCCCCACTCTTACCATGCTTAATCATCAAGCAGTTAACACCTGCTGTGGCCGATATTGGTGCTAATTTTCGTTTCTAGCCTTTTTTCCCTGTCTTACGAGCATGTGCTGGCGACGAAAATTGTTTCTTTACCCTGGCAAAACATGGCATTCCTCCATGCACTTTATAATGCAAAAATCCGGTGTGCACAGTCCTTAGAGAGTATGATGATGTCTAAATTCTTTTTTGCACATCGCTGCATACTTTAGTCGTGTCTGCAATTGCTTGTACTGAAATAAAAAGCAGAAGGTAGCCGTAGGATAATCCGGGTGTCCGGAAAATAAAAAAGCAGTGACTGGCTTCTAACTGTGAGTCTCCCTGTTTGACTGTAATTTCTCTTTTTTACACCTCTGCGTGTGGCGCGGTGAAATCAGCGCACATTTAAACCAGGATCACCCACCTCACAGAGTTACATCTAGTACATCTCGTCTCCCGTAAATCTGATGCAAGTGTTCAGAAGGCAAGAACTTCAGCCCCCTCAGATGTGTCTCAGATGTGCCAAATGCTATAGCTGAGCTCAGCTTCTCACTTCCTGCCGGCCTAGGGAGGACATGACACTCGGCTCGAAAAGGCATCGAGTGGAAAAAAGGGCAATCTCCTTTCTTTTTAATGTAAAAAGCTCCGGCTTTGTTGTGCTTTCTGTGGATATCAAGGCCTTTCCACTCCCTCACTACCAAATCTCCCCCATAACCCACCCCCTACTGGCCTCCCACGGGTGTCTCCCCCCTTAACCTGCTCTCTCATCCTCTCATTCACCCGTGGTTTGAAGTAATTCTACCACTGGTGTGCCAGCTTGAGACCTCATTCCTTCTCCTTTTCAGACAGAGGGCTGGAGTTGACCTCAGAAACCCAGCCATTTCATCTAGAAAGAAAACTTATCAAACAACCACCCCAAAAAATAAATAAATATTATATATATATATATATATATATATATATATATTTATATATATATATATATATATATATATATATATATATATATATATATATATATATATATATATATATATATATACATATATATATATATATATATGAGGTGTAGCTTTGTTGGCTTGTTGGGTGACAGCTTCATTGTGATAAAACCGGGGACCATGGGGATCTCACAGGTGCTGAGCCACGACAAAACAGACATTGTAGTAGCCAAAGCACACAGCAGCTTAAGCAAAATAAAAAGTAAGCCAAAGTGTACAATAAATAAATAAAAAGGAAATGAAAATCCTATGTGATGGGGTCAGCTTGCTCAAATCAGAGGGAGAAGAATGGCATGGCTCTTAGCAGTGGCTTTGATCAGGGAAAGAGAGCCTAACCTAAGTTTAATTTAATGAAATCTATTGGGCAAACAGAGCCACTGTTTTCAAAGTGCCAGGTTAGGTCTGTCCCAGTGGGCAAGATGAGGACTCGCAGGCATTGATTGCGTCACGCAAAACACAACTTTAAGTGTGTGAGCGAAACTGGACGCCATGAAATGTGTGATTCGTGTGACTTGTGTATAATGAGGCATCGTAAAGCAACATTGGCTGGAGGATTTAAAGATACATTTGTCAGTCCTGATAAATTTCTCTTATCAGAATATATTTTGAGTACAGAGACCCCCTCCTTCCTTTCGCCTGACTATGACAAACTGTTCTTTATCATTGTCAGGTCCCTGATTTATTATGTAGACTCAATAAAAATGAAGAGTTTTCTTTTTTCATTTTAACAACAAAATTGACATTATTTAGATTAGGTCATCATTATTTGGTTACATGACAAACAATGCTCAGGTATTATTGAAAATGAAGTAACTTTATCAATTTCAAGCAAATCGTTTCTAATTTCCTTGTAATTTTTAACACTTTTCTGCTTTTCCAATCATCAGTAAGTAATTAGCTGAATAAGATGCACCGGTGGCTGTAACTTGCAGCCCTAATATCATTGTTATCATTATGTAATTGGTATAAATTCACTGGAATAGCTTTGCCTCAATTATTTAATATAACATTTCATGAGGAGTATTGATCTCTTTAAGAAAAAAAAATCACAACTCTTGGTCATTACTTTGCAGTAGCTATGAAGTTTAGACAAGTGTCTTCATATTTTTTCTTCCCATTTTAAATCCTGAACCCTTTTGAGAGATTATTCACTGCATGGCTTACTTGGACTATCAGCACACCTCCTGCTGGCAGCAGATGGCGGTGTTGATCTAAGAATTTTCTTTGAGCAAGCTTCAACATCAGGAAGATATTGGGCACATTCACCAATTACTTTGCCCTGCTGATATGTGGTTGGACTTGCTCTGATAAATTCTTCTTACCATTGCTATGCCTAACCTCTGCTTTATGTTTAATATGCAAGATTGAAAATGGTGTCCCTGTGGTGAAAACCTATCTGAGTTCTTGCTTATAAGCTTATAAGTTTATGCATTTTCTTTTCTTTTTCTTTGCTTAATTATGCTTTGAAAAATACTTAAGCAAACAAAACAGAATATAAATTAAATGCCAAGTCCTTGGGAAAGTGAAATGCCTTTTTTAAACATTTCATGCTTTAACTCACAACAATATTCTCATTTCTTCTCTCAACTAGTTCTCCGAATATGTTTCACCTCTTTAGATTGTTTCTTTTTTTTATTATATCCAAATAAACTCTACTGGTCTAAATGTTTGTTTGTTAAAAGGTTAATTAATAGTCTTTAAATCTCAAGTTGACAAGTTTTGTTGTTGAGACCTTACATCTTTTTGTCATTTATTAAAAAGGAGGTCCTATAATGGTCAAGGCAGTTTTGTTGATGGCACGAGATCCATTGTGTTATGCGTTTTGTTTCATCTTATTG